CCTCCTCACCCCCCCCCCCTTTTTTTTTTGGTTGACACACCTAGGGGTTCCTTGAAATTCTGAAAAGCTGAAAAGGGTTCTTCAGCCAAATAAAATTGGGAAACACTGCTCTAGGCATTGCAAATTAGGTTTTCAGAATGGAAAGCTGGGCTGGAACGGACTGGGCCTGGGCTACAGGGGGACTTGAGGGCTGGGCTCACCCTGCAAAGTGGTCTTTCACCATGCTCTAATGCAGGGCTACTCAACACATGGCCTGTTTCTTTGCGGCCCACTGTTTTTAGGGGGCTCAACACGCAGCCCATTGGTGGGATCCTTTGAACATGCTCCACAATGGCTAGTCAATATAATGGTCTTCTGTTGATATGCGTTTTAGTAGTTAAATTCTTGGACTGTCATTTCTTGTTAAGTGCTGTGATATGGGTGGAAATCAGGTAAATATTGCATTTTATTAATATCAGCAGAACTGACATAAATGGGGCCTATGTTGTGTAGTCTTGCCTTAATCTTTGTATCCATGCCCATCAGTGTGAAAGAAGCTATTTTCTTATATTTACCTATATATTTGCCTGCATATACAACCACGCTTAAGTTGCGGCCCTTGGCATGTGCTAGGAGTATCATTATGGTTCCTGGAGCTTCCAAAGTTGAGTAGCCCTGCTCTAATGAGTTCAAGGCATGTACCAAGTTGCTTTTTACTCTTTTGTTATTGTATATATATTTTTAAGGATGCTTATCATCTGGGAATGTGAAATGAATAGTTGGTTTGCCATGACACTTGCATTGGAAAAATGTGAATTTTTACCAGTTTTTTCTTTGCTTCATTAATCCTCTTAAATAAAGATGCTGTGAAACTATAACTCTTCCTGTCTCTTTGTTCTATAATCACTTGGTTTCATGTGTTAATCTCTTAAATTCCAGGACTTTTAAATGACTAGTTTTAAGAATCCATTTCTGCATCCTGAAATCATGTTGTTTTTTTCCTTCCAAAGGACCTAGATGATATAGAGGATGAAAATGAGCAATTAAAGCAGGAAAATAAGACCCTCTTAAAAGTTGTTGGACAGCTGACAAGGTAGAAGATTCACATCTCAATGGAGAAGAGAGAGAGATTTAAACACTACTGATTGAATGTTAAAGTCAATACTATAGTAATACTTCCTGTGTTACAGGTTACTAAAATAACCACGTCTTTATATTTATTACTAGGAAACCAGATGGATGTTTATTTTCATAATGCATTCTTTTTCATTCAAGAAAATGACATCAACTTCTTTGGGTATTTGTAACCCAAACTTTCACACCAAGAATAATTAACAATTGTGACACCTTACAAAAACATTAAATTCATGGTGGTTGTATTGTCTTCTGACTATCTATAATCTGGTTATAGTCATTTAAAAATCAGAGCACCAGGATCACTTTTGGTCATGTTGGGTGTATATTTTTTTTCTTGAGTGAAATGAAGCAATAATAAGCTTTGTTTACACAGATCCAAAATATATATTTGGGGAGATATATGCATTTAGTTTCTACTGCTAAGTGTAGATGCCTTATTATTGATGTGTAACATTTTACTGATTGAGTACTTCTAAAATAGAAATCTTGTATGTTGAGCATTTTTTACTCTGAAAGATTGACAGTGATTGACTTAGCAATTTTTTTCTGTACAGTTGTCTCGAGGAAAAGTTTTTATTAAAAAAAAAAAAATCAATAAACCACCCGTAGTTACCAACATTAACTTGTTTTGTGAATGTCTAAGTTGTGCATTAGCAATGAAATGCAAGTTTACTATCCTACAGTAAGTTTGTTTTGTTTGTTGAGAATATAAACAAAGCCTGGAGCTTTCATTTTGCGAGAATATTAGAACACAATTATGTTTAAATATACCTATTTGAAATATTTAGTGCTCATAATAAATGTGAGTTTCAAGGGTTTTTTAAGCTGTGATACAGCTTGTTTGCTAATGTATAAAATGGAAGTTTCATAAATTATTTAGGCCCTTGAAAAGCATGAAGTATGCAACATACAGTAAAAACATTCAGACTTGGTTACCAATAATGTGCATGAAAATTAAAGCTTGCATATACAGTTTATTTTAACCACTTAGGGCAATGTGCTCATACTGTTTTTAGTGGAAGATGACACTTTCATGATGTATAAACCACTGTTTTCAGTCCCAAATAATTCTGGCCTAAAACTTCTTGGCTAGACTGAAATTCATGCTTGGATTTTTCTTGGTAGGGCACAACTCACCCCTGATTTGCACAAATATGTAAGTTTGTTAAGTTACAAAATCAGATATAAAACCTTCCTGACATTGACAATTCTTCCTCTCATAAAGCAAATATACAGAAATATACAGTTTGAAAATTGTACCAAGTAGTGTAGCTACAGTTTTTGTTGCCTTGAAATACAAAGATAACATTAATACATAATGATGGCCATCTAAAAAAGATTTACCCATAGCTTCCATTTTGAATTAAATATTCTTTAATGAGACTAAGGAATTCTTGAATTTTCAAATCCGGGAATTATCATTCTAAATTGGAAGCTTTTGGTTTTGTTCTGAATATTGAACACGTTACCCTGCCATGTTTTATATTCTGACGAGAGAAAAGAGGTTGAATGCTTAAGTAGTACTGCATATTACATTTTCGTTTGCACAAGTGAGCAGTAATCTGTATCAGCAGTAAGTACTTCATTTGATCACTTTTACAAAATTGGAAATTTAAACATATAAGGGGCAAATCTTGATATAATATTCACACATTTAAGTGGGCTTAGTAGATCTGAAACATAACATTGAAACTTTCTTTGAAATAGCATCTAGCTTTCTCTCTCCATTTAATCTACAGGCAAAACTTAAGACCTTGCAGAGTGACCTTCCAAATTTATATTTGATGCATTACCAAGAGGATTAGATGCTTAATGTCATACTGTGAACATAGAGACTATAATGTTAGACTATGTCTAGACTACGCCAAAGTTCTGAAAAAGGATATGCAAATTCCGTGGGAATTTGCATATCCTCTTTTGGAACTTAGGTGTAGTCTAGACAAGCCATTAGATATAAGCACTATTATAAAGTAGATATTTCTAAACTATATTTCACATAGAATCACAGAAACTGTAGGCCTGGGAGGGATCTCAGGAAGTCATCCCTGTGCGGTAATAAGACCAAATATAGTTACATTATCCCTGAAAATTGTGCGTTGGACCTGTCCAAAAAAAGCCATCCAGTGATTGATTCTACAGCTTCCCTTGGGGCTTATTCCAGTGCTTGACTATCTTTATAGTTAGAAAGTATTTCCTTGCATCAAACCTAAATTTTCTTGCTACAGTTAAAGCCCATTGCTGCTTGTTCTATTTTCTGTGGGACACAAAGCATTTGATAACCATCCTTGTTATAACGGTATTCAAATGTGTTACAGACTGCAATATTAGGTCACCCATCATGTGTCTTTTCTCAAAACTAAACATTCCCATTATATTAACCTTTCTTCAAAGGTCAAATTTTCAGAATCTTTTAAAATTTTGGTTGCTGTCCACTAGACCTTTTCCAGTTTGTCAACTTATTTCTTAAAGTTCTGGGTACCACACTGGACACAGTATTCCAGCTGAGGTCTTACCAATGAGTAAAGTGGGACAGTCACCTTCTATGTCTTAAATGTAGTATACCTGTTAAGGCGCCACATAATAGCATTTTTCACAACTGCAGCTATGTCTAGACTATGGAGTTTTTCCGGGACACCAAGTATCACAGAAAAACTCTGTCGCAACCAGAGAACGTGTCTGCTCTTCTGACATTTTTTGCAGAAGAGCAGATGCACTCTTTCGGAAACCTTGTCTTCCTTGTTTCATGATGAAGGGCTCTTCTGAAAGAGGAGGTTTTTCCAAAATTTAGCCCGGTGTAGATGGGCTAAATTTCGGAAATGCCTCTTCCGACAGAACTAACGGAAAAAGGCACGCAAGTTGCAGAGCATAATTTGCATACCTTTTTCTGCTAAAAAGCGACAGTCTAGACGTAGCCTGCATGAAATTGTTGACTTAGTCATTTGTGATCCACTAAGCCCCCAGATACTTTTCAAAAGTGCCTACCCAAATATTCCCTATTTTGTAGTTGTGTATTTGATTTTTTTTCTTCCCAAGTGTACATTTGGCACATGTCTTTACTTTATCATACTAATGTTCCAGTTGAAGGTCATTTAGAATTTTAATTCTTATCTCCAACTCCTCCCAACTTGGTATCTGCAGATTTGTAAAATATACTCCACTTCTTTATCAAAGTCATTAATGAAAATTTTGACTATTATCAGATCCAGGACAGACCCCTACAAGATCCTATTAAATATGTCCCCACCGTTTAACAACCAATAATTGATAACTACTCTTTGGATTATTATTTTTTCAATCAACTGTGAACTCAACTTATAAAAACTTTATCTAGGTTACATTTCCTTAATTTAATCATGAGAATGTCCTGTGGGATTTTTAAAAGCCTTATTAAAATTAAGTTGTATCATATCTACAACTCTTCCCCACTCCATTAAGTCAGTAACCCTGTCAAACAACTATATTTGATTGGTTAGGCATGATTTGTTCTTTACAAATCTAGGCTAGCTATTACTTAACCCTATTAGCCTCAGTGTGCATAGGAATTGCTTAATAATTAGTTCCAATATTTTCCAGGTATTGAAGTTATACTTATTGGCCAAAAATTACCGGGATCCTCTTTGTTCCCCTTTGGTATTATGTTTTTCTCTCTTCTGGGACCTCTCACCCTTTGACTGATATAAAATAGGCATTAAACACTTCAGTTTTCTTGATGTCTGTTATTAGCTCTCATTCCCTGCTAACTAGAGAACCTACATTTTATTTCCATTTTCTCTTGTTTCCTGTGTATTTATAATACCTCTTATTGTCTTATGTCCCTTGTCAGGTGTAGCTCATTTTGTGCCTAAGCCTATATGCTTGTGCTATTCTTTTCTTACTCAATTAATTCTTCAGGTTTCCATTTTTTAATAGGTTTTTCTTTTGATTTTTAGGTCATTAAAGAGCTATTTGAGGGAGCCATATTGGTCCCTTACTATTCTGAGCTTTCCTTCTCAGCAGAGTAGTTTATTGGTTTGTCTTTCATGTTGTTTAGATAATTGTGTGTGTTTAGCCCATGAAAGAACAACAAAACAAATGGATTTTTTTTTGTCATTACCTCTTCATAAATTAACCATTATTTTTGTGAAAAAGAATAGTTGAAGTTCACATTGTTTTTCACTTTGACACATGTTAAATTTGAGGGAGTTTTTTTTTTAATGGTATGGGAGATGTATTTACAATAGACTTTCCTGGGAACTTCTGAAGTCCAAATTCTAGAATGGTTGAAAATTTAAATAAATTAATAGAGATTGCCTATTTCCTAGAACTGGAAAGGTCATCAAGTCCAGTCCCCTGCCCTCACAGCAGGACCAAGTACCATCCCTGACAAATTTTTGCCCCAAATGACCTCCACAAGGATTGAACTCACAGCCCTGGGTTTAACAGGCTAATGCTCAAACCACTGAGCTATCCCTCCCTCCAAAATGACAGCACTTCTGCTCCAGAACAGTGCCTTCATTTAGTGTGGTGCCTTAATACAAATTAAGGGAGTTCAGGCAGAAAGCTGGATCTGTATAAATACACGTCATACGTTGCATGATCTTAATGTTCTCACAAACTGCACCATAACACTCTTTAGCTGACAGTTCTATAGATCTTAAATATTTCTGAGGAAAAGTATTTCAACTACTGCAATAGTTTATGGTAATTTTCTGTAATATCAGTCTCTTGGCAGAAGTTTGGTAGTCTCTTACTATAAAAAATGATTCAGTACTTAGACTGCTAATATTTGTCTTGCTATTACCTTTTTATCTTAGGGTCTCTTAAGATACAACAAGCTTCCAACTACTCTAGCAGAAGGACTTTTTTGTTGACCCTTTACAGTTTGTTTACTTTCTCCTACCTAACTACTTATTGCTGGATTGCTCGGAATTAATGTAAATGTGGGCGATTTAAAACATTAGGGACATTGAAATTGAGTAATATCTGAATAGTTCTTGAAGTGAAAACCTCCCTCATTTGGGAAAGGTGTAAGTTTTAAAAAACAATCTGGATATTTTTGTAGTAAGGTGACAATGTGCAAGAGGTTTTGGGTTCACTAATGTTCTGATGTTGTTCAAGTAAATTTGTGAGATTTCTGTACTTTCATCTCTTAAAAATGGGACCAAACTACACACACTGAAAATTTATTTAAAAAAATACTGTAAACCTAGTTACCTTGGGAAACTTTAACAGATGTTTGTGTAGGCGATTAATAAAATTAACAGGGAAGAAATTGCCTTTATCTTATTTTCATAATGAATGCCACATGATATATTCCATAATGGATGAGCTGCCAGGCATTAATTTGTATTATCTTGATGATGCATTAAGAGGTTTTTGTAGTACCACTATGACTGTCAAGTTCTGTTGATTAGCAGATATGTCCCAAGACCTTAAACTTAAAATAGCATGTGGAGATACTGACCGTGAACAGTGTACATTAATGTTTTTGGGTTTTTTCTGAAGGCAGGAAATTAATAGTGCATAAAGATTTATAACCTTTTAAAATAATCAAAACAGCTTTTTAATTTTCAAAATAATTTATCTGTCATCCTTAAACTTTAACATTACTCGAGGGTCTTTTTAACCCGAGAAACGCAGCCTATATTTGAAAATTGGTTCTTATGTCTTAAAAGCCAGAAGTTTTTCCTTTCTGTAACCAGGTTTTGGATCACACATTTAGAAACATAAATTGTAATTTTTTTCTTCAGATGGACATTGAATTTTAGGCGGTTTGGGGAGATGAATTAATTGATAACAAATGTATCCATTTTGGAATATATAGCTTAGAAACAGGAAATAAAGTGATAGCTGATAATTTAGCAATTTGTTTCTCAATTACTTATGCTGAGAACTAGCTAAAGTGAAAATGACTGGCATAAACCTCATTCCATAAAATAAAGAGATTTTAATATAGTTCAATAGAGCTGCTTTTAATTTGTATTGAGTTGTGTTTTGGTTTACTTAATATACAGATAACATGGAAATTGTGCAGTTGTAAGAGAGGTCAGTGGGGAAGGCAGGAGATTTCATTACTTTGTAAAAGGCACTGCTGGTATAGAGATGTAGGCTTTTTTTCCTACAAAATAGGAAAATAATTTCATAATAGCAGCCAAGTAGAGAAGTGGTAATGGGGGACACAGATGAAGCAAATTTACTTTTAAATGTAGGTATAACTATCTTGTATTTGCCTCTCAGTATTTCTTGAGTTCAAAGACTTCTCATGAAGATGTCAGTTATATCAATGCATTTTCATCAGTATGAAATAATAATCTAGACAGCTGGCATCACCAGCAAGTAAAATAGCCTTTGTCATGGGGTAGAACTGCCAGAGCAAAGAGGGGTTTTTTCCAACTCATTCAGATGAGAAATAACCTTTAAAATGTTAACAATGATGGTAATTAACTATTGGAACAATTTAGCAAGGGTTGTGGTAGATTCTCTAGAACTGGCAATTTTTAAGTAGTGTGGCTTTTTCTAAAAGAGAGGCTCCAGTTTCAACAAATTGTCAGGAAATTTCTATGGCTTGCTGTGCTGGAGGCCAGAGAAGAGGTGCACTGTGGACCTGTATGTGTAGATACCTACACATGCAGTAAATTCACAGTCTTAATCAGGTAATGGAAAGGAAAGCATAAGAATGTTTTCCAACTTAAACATTTTATTATAGCATTCCTACCAATAGTAAAAAAATAAACAAATTGACTACTGGATGCTGTCAGTTAACTTGAAGCGGTAAAAGAAAATTTCCATACCACTATACTTATACTCCCAGTCAATTTTGGTATCAATACATGTGTTGACATCACTTCTGCCTTTAAGCCTTTATGTAGAACCATTTATAATATGCATGCTGGACACAAATGATGTAACTATGAAGCTACTGTACCAAGTCATTATTTTAAAGTGTGTTAACTTACAATAACTTTTTCCATATCACAATGTAGGTCTTTCTCCTTATGTTGCAACAGATGTACATTATTCTGCTAATTTATTCTTGTTGCTTTTATTCTTGTCTCTTTTGGTGTTCTGTTCAGGGTTGTGGTTCAATGTGGTGGGTGGGTGGAAGAAGGCAATACCCACTACATTTTTCACTTTAAAATGTCAGTCGTAATCCAATTAAAATTTATGTACAGTCATTTTAAAATATAGCTGTTACATGTATTTAAAACATTGAATCATTACTTAGTTATAAAGAACTATTTTGAACATTGTCTAGTTTCATATTTTGTGGTAACATTTGTTTTAAAAGGTATTGAGAATTTACTGTTGCAGGTAAGATACCTGAATTAATCTACCAATAAAAACTGTGTACTTTTTTTGTCCAAATAAAAACAAAATACTTTCTAATCAGAGTTTGTTCTTGAATATGTTCAAAGAGAAATAATACTATACAACTTAACAATTAATACCAAATACATTAACTAAGACTTGATGAAAACTTTCCAGATTTTATTATATGTAAATTGCTATTGTAGTTTCATTATTTTTAGTCTGAAATTACACTAAGGACCTATAGACTGAAAACGAAGTGTAAATTCAAATCTAACTACAGTCTTCTCTATGTATGGTTGCATCTAATCTCTTTACATCAGGACACCTTCCATCTCCAACTGTAGCCTTCTACTTGGCTCTTCTTTTACCCTAGACCCCATTTCACCTTCACAGATTGAAATTATGACTAACCTTCAGTAAGGAGAAATGGAAATGGCTTTTTTCTATAGCTGTTAGTCCAGCTCTTTTGCTTGGCTGAAGGTCTTAGAGCAGGGTGGGCAATAGTTTTTTATGGAGTGGCATTCCAAGAATTTGGTAAATACATTTAGCTAGGTGGCTCCCAGCCAGCAGCCCCACATGTCCTGCTTGCCCTGTCATTGCATGCTGCCGAGAGTGGGTGGCCACAGGGGCCATGTGCTACTCTGAGTACTGCAAGCCCTGGTTGGATATACTTTGTGCACTTCCTGCCCTGCAAACAGGCAGCTCCTATTGTTCGGTTTCCAACCAATGGGAGCTATGAGATTGTGCTGGGAGTGGGTTAGCATATGAATCCTTCCCTGCCCCTGCTTGCAGTAGTGCTTAGAGCAGTGTTTCTTAAACTGTGTTCTGTGGCACATTGGTGTGCTGGTGTGCTGCGAGGCAGTTGGAGGTGTGCTGCAGAGAATAACAGAGTTCAAAATGGTCACCCTTAAAGGGGCAGACTTTTTTTGCTCAATAACTCCCCCCCCCCACACACACCCCTTTATTTTTGCTCAACAAAAAAATCCTTGTTGTTCCTCAGGGAAAAAAAAATATTGTTTGTGTTCCTTGGTCTTAAAAAGTTTAAGAAACACTGGCTTAAAGGATCACATGCCCCCCCTGCAGCCGACATGTCTAAGCAGTGTGCGAGAGCAGGACAGGCAGGGAGCCTGCCCAAGGCTCCCCCTGGGCCATGAGCTAGATCCGATAGTTGGCAGGCCAGATCCAAACCACCTCTCTTTTAGAGGATAGTTACAAAATGCTTCCTCTTAGAGGTGCTGAGAGCACTGACTCCATAGTCCCTCTAGAACTTGTGCGTGCGTGTGTGTGTGTACGTACAGACAGAGGCCTCAAGGGCAGCCTAGTACATACACTTGTTCTTTGTTTGTCAATGTGCAGCAGTTCTGAGCATTGCAAAAATGGAATGATGCAAATGAATTATTTTTTAAGTTTATAATATTGTTTTTAATATATTTGATTTAAGCAGTTCACTTACTACAGACACACCACAATAATGTTAATATCCAAAGCAGGTGTTTTAAGCACATTAAGACATTGCACTGCACTTGTGTTTAATTATTGGAATTATGTTTTAAAGATACCTTCTCTGCAGGTTTATCACTGCTATATGTTCAGCCCTTTACATGAGGCTGATGAAACTTCTTTAGCTTCTCAAGGTGTTTGTTTTTTTAAAAAACTCTGGACTCTGCTCTAATCTTGAATATTTTAAATAGAAAGGCAGGGTAAAAATATTTAAATAAATAAAATAAAATAATATTTCAGGTGAGGTATAATTCAGTTTCAAATTTTAGGTTTTTACCTGGAGTACTTCATAGGGTTACCAGATACTTTCACAAAAAATTCCGCACATGGAAAAAAATTGAGGAAAAACAAACAGGGGACCAAAGTTGTTGAGCAAAAAAAAATAAAAAAAAAAGTAATTGCTCCTTTAAATCCACATGCTTCCTCCACCAGATGCGGCCCCGCCAGCCTTCTGTCCGACAGGCCACAAATACTGGGTAAAAACCGGACACTAGGCAATTCTAGTACTTCAGAGCACCTCTGGTGTTTTGGCATCTGTTTTCATAGCACTTCAATGACTATCCTTTGGTGTCTTGCTTCTTATTAGGAAACCTTATGTTAAAGTGCATAGATACTTGCTTTGCTTCTTCACTGCCCAATTTTTTTACTTTGCATCTCAACATCTCTATAATCTTCTTGTAGCAGGGGTGGACAAGATAGGGTCCATGGGTTGGATTCAGCCTGCAAAACCACTAGATCCAGCCCACGGCCACCTTGCTGCTCCCACTCTGGACCTGGGGACAGGGGAGCATACAAAGTGTCCTCCCACTGCCAGCGGCACATAGTACCTACAGGGAACTGACAGCTGTTCAAAATGGCTGGCGGGGTGAGGGGCAAGAGTCTTCATGCACCTAATGGGAACAGCCCCCTTCTGCTGGAGGCCCAGTCCCTGTGTGCTCGGCCCACAACCACTTCCAATATTTGTGAAGTGGCTTACAAAATTATTACCCACCCCTATGTAAAAGGGTTGGTCCAATATTTCCCTCAAAATACAAATAACCACTTTTCTTATGCAGGTTTGGAATCTGTGCAAGAACAAAGACCATTCAACAGCTTCAAAGCATGTCTGAATGGCAAAACAGCATCCATGATGGGCAACCATTTTTGTTGTGTTGTCTGGTCAAAGTTAAAAACAAAATCCAAAACTGATAAAAGGAAATACTTTTGACATAGTGAGTAATTAGACTGTGAAATTCATTCCTACAGGAAGAGGCCTAGAACTTAGATTTAGAAAGAGAGTGGACATTTATAGGGATAAGATTATCCAGAGTTCTAATTTATTTTTAACTTTGGAAAGGATATTAAGCCTTATGCATCAGGATTCAAGACAGTCTCTAGCTATTAGAAATCAACATGAAATCTTTTCTGGTGGAGCAGAATAACCCTCATCCGCCTTTCCTGTTCTTGTACCTTTCTCTGAAATATCTGGTACTGGCCTCTGTTAGAAAGAAAATAGTGGTTTTAAATGGACTTTGTGTCTGACCCAGAATAACAATTCCTGTGTTGCTATTGTGACTGTGCCAGATATTTCTGCAGATGTCACAGCACCTGCTAAAGAAACATAATGAACATATTTTGAGCTCCCTTTGAGGTATCCCAGGAAATCTCTTGTAAGTCCAAAACATGGCTGGCCAGAATTCTTTGAATCCTCAATGCTGAAGTCTGGTTCTCGGCAACGCTACCAGAACTTAGTGTCAGGACCACTGTCTTACAGGTAGACCCACTGGGATGGCTTTACAACTGGAAATTCCTACATTTATTACCAGAAAAGTACTGCCAACCATTGATACTTTGATGCATTCAAGGCTTAAAGTCAATGGGGCTGAGTTCTGGTGAGAAGTTAGGCAGGAAACACCAAAAGAGGACCAGCTGTTTCAGACATGTTTCTGTCAGGGTCCCCAGGTGAGAGGTGCCATCTGGAAATCTCCAGATTTTTTCCTCCTGCATTTAGTAATTGAAAGTAGAGAGGCTGATGGCAGTTCTGACCTTTAGCATGTATTCAGTGACATGGCTTGATCACAACAACTGCCTTCATTGCATGACATTTGGCCTACGCGGACAGAATATTGCAGAGTTGGAGCACTACTTGCACTGAGACTGATGCACCCCAGAGTTGGCATTTCCACTCAGTATTAGCTTTGTGACTTCTCCTTGCAGCTTCGCACTCATGTTCTTTTGTGCATCCCTCAAACTTTTTACTTTCCAAGAGTGGGAAACTGTGGTGGAGATGGTACTGTTATGAAGGGAAAATTACTTGCCTAGAGAGAAGCAGAATTAAATGTATTTTCTTGCAGGAGTTCCACTCACATATCCATCACTCTAAAGAGTTTAGGGGGGAGAGTAGTTTTATTTTTTCCTCCTCCACCCCATTGCTAATAGATGAGCTGCTGATAATAACTTCTCTTTGTGAGGTCTTCACCTCCTGATCTGTTAAGAAACTGACTGGGCTGTTCGAGGCCGGTCCTTTATGTTCAACAGGACTTGGTGCACAACAGCCTTTAGAGAGCCCAACTCTTGCTCTGTCCCGTTATCACAGGCTTTGAGGGTCAAAGACCTGGTGAACGAAGGTCATTTTTCCAGGTTCAAACTAAGAACCATCCTGAAAGGTGTCTTTAGCATCAAAATTAGAGAGATTTTCCTCTCACACCAGTTCTGTTCTTTATGAAATCCCCTTCATAAATGGTATGTGGCCAGCTTTAAAGCCAGTTTCAAGAGGCATGATGCAGTGTCTCATTTTTTCATTTATTGTTTAGTCTTTCTTCAAGTAAACGTTTCTGTTCCTTTAATAACAACTGTTTAGTGCTAAAACATTTGCAAGCCAGCAACAGTGAAAATATTTCAGTCTAAATGAAACCAATATTTGAATTTAAAGTTGCCTCGTCACAAATCCTTAACCACAGCACCTTTTCTGTCCTAGATTCTTTGCAGAACAAATGTAACAACAAAGTACTACACACAAAGAGAAACTAAGTATAGGTTAGTTTCCCTGGTCTAACACCCTGGCGACCTGACCAGTCTCAAATGAGGGAATTTGCCAGACATGGGGAGGTCCTCTGCCACCTGGCCCACAGTCCACCATTTCTCCCCCCTTCCTCCCTGCTCCACTTCCAGCTCAGCTGGACCCCCTGCCTCTGGCCCAGCAGGGTGGCAGCCCCCGGCCATCCCTTGGGCCCACAACCACCACCCTCCCTATCGTTAGACCCTGCTGCGGGCTCCTGGCCTCGCTGTCTCCAACTGCCAGACACCAGCCCATTGCCACTGGGCTTCTAGCCCTGGGGCTCTCTGGTCCAGGGACATCCATGGTTCTGCTGGATCAGAGAGTCCTGGCTTAGGGAGATACAACCTGTGTACTTTGTTTTGATCATGGTGCTCTATATTTTATGAAAAAGTTGAAT